TGGATCTGGGTTTTATTTGTTTTCTTTTTTTGCTGTCAGGCAGAACTTTATGCATAGAAGCATAAAGACAGCAGAAACTTGACATCTTATGTGTCGCTATTTATTCAAACTCCAATACAGAGGTTGTGGAGCCACTGAGGTTGTGGCTCAGATTAATTAATTAAATTAAACATTAATTAAAGTACATGTTTACAGTCCATTTAAGTTTTGGAGTAATTTCTCCAACTATTTTGTGTGTGTGTGTGTGTGTGTGTGTGAATTATTTACTTTGTTACATTGTTACACTGATGTAACTCCCTTGCACAGACACGAACTCTTCTATTGCTTTAACTTGAGCTGCTTCCAAAGCACCATACAATAATTTAGTATTCATTAGACTTCTCTGGTAAGCCAAGTCCCTAAACCATCCTTGGCACAAACTGTCCCTTATTGGTTCTGCACTTTTTACTGTTTCTACTCTTTATTGTTGCACCTTGGGATCAACAGGTGTTCTCCAGGCAAAGTAAAGATGGGAAAGTAATATAAGAAAGCACCAAAATGTGCACATGCGTGACGATTAACACTGGAACCTGCAACTTTTAGACCTTTATACAGCCGAGGAGCTGCACCTTTATCGTTTGTTTTGTTTGAAGGAAAGTAAGTCACGTTTTGTAGCATTAGGCAGCAGTCAAGGGGCCTAAGGGAATGAGTCCATTATGGATGAGCTCAGAAGATCTTTCTAATGTTATTACAATGGGGAACAAACCCCGCAAATGTGAGGTGGTCCATATGCCTATCCAAGGATTTGTTTCGTCATTGTTTAGAATGTGGAACTGTTGTTTTACCATGCCTTCTGTGAAGCATTCCAGTATTTGAATGTTTATCCCCAACAGCAAATTCTGGTTTTCAAAGACCAGAATACCCACCTCTACCTGAGAAACAGGTAGTCACACTTCATCTCTTGTTGGTATAAATGCTGACAAAAAGGAAGCTTAGAAAAAAAAGTGCAAATATTGTGAGACTGTGGCCACTTTTAGTGGTTAAAAAAGTGTTGTAAGCTTGCCTAAAAATGTGAAATATGCTGCAAGGAGAAGCCAAAAATCTTTCCTTTGTAGGACCCTCCCAAATGTCTGGAATTTGTTAGCTTTCCCGAGTGTGAGAAAGAGATTTTTGAGTCATACATTCATGTCTTTAACATGAAAACATTGAATGTCTCTTAAGCTGTCTCAGATTTCTAGCTCTGAGTTTCCCCAAGTGTGTGATTCCTAATCTCTAAGGCTACCCATAAAAATGAGATAAATAGCTTATGTTGTGAGACACTGAAAAAATATGTTTTCTATATCTGTGTGTTCAAAAAAGTAACCTATGTTGAGCGAAGGGCTTGGAAAACACTCTATAACGAAGTATAGATGTATAATTGGCATTCGTGTGTAACATTTGCCTCGTAACACATAATATTGTGAAGACTATAAATTTGTTCATAGCCAAGGCATTTAAGTAAGTGTTGCAGACATGCCCTTGCCATAGACTGAGCTGATAAGAAAATGTAAAAAAAGCTATACATGAAGTATTAATTCAGTCTTGGTGCACAGCAGGTTTCACTATGAAAATGATATTACATCTGAGTAAGGCAATAGAAACTGGAAAGCATTACTGTAAATAAAATAAGCAGTTCCCTAAGCATTATAGTGCACTGTAAATATACTTTTTGGAATCAAATAATTTCTTTTTCACATTCTTGATTAATTTAGAAAAATTAGGGGCTTCCAAATAACTCTAGCTTTCTTATTAGAAACGTCTGAAGTAGAAGTAGCAAAGTGATAAGGAAAAAAGCATGCCCTACTATAATGGACCATATTGCTTCTGGAGCAGTTCTAGAGCTGCCAGCCACTGAGGAATGCTGGTCTGTGGTGTCGCCTGACATGGTGCACAGACGGGTGAATACAGGGGTTTCCAGCACAGTACAGCTGCTCCCAGACAGGGAAAGAAATGGGTACAACTGCTTTAAAACTTCTTACTGCTGAAACTGTGATAGTCAAAGGCCTGTATCAACAAAGACTGAAAACAGAAGTATCAGCTCCTACTTAAATACACTGACAAATGAAATGAAAAGGGCAATTTTTAGGGTAATATCCTTTACTGAATCATTTCCAAACTATAATTATTTGTACATCTATTTCTATCATATACAGACAGAGATAATGCAAAAACTCTATTTACCATATGTAAGCTATTACGTCAGCTCCACAATTTTTTGAAGCTTATGTACATTTATGTTATTGTCTATAGTTAGCTAGGAACAATTTCACAAGAAAAAAAATCTGTGTTAAGAGATTCATTTGGGTTACAAAATAAAGGATTAAATAAAAGTTAGAAAGAGACAAAAAGCATAGAAGCACACGTGCTGTTAAAATGCTGGTGAGAGACAAATACCCACCAGCATATTTAAGTGCCTCAGAATTAATGGAGTCAACTTGATAAAACAGCTGTGAGATAAAAGAGAACTACTCTCCCCACTTCACTGTTAGGAAATTGAGAGGGAGAGTTTGCATATAGCTAAGTTGCATTTAATTCTTTCATTTAGTTTTGAAACATAACTAGATTGTTTCAATTTAGGGACAGTGGGCTCTCTCTCCAACCAGCTGACAAAAGCCTTAACCAAGCCATTAGTATTTGTGGTTGTTGCTGCAGGGGATGGTCCTGCTCTCTATCCTGTCCTGGTGCTTTTCTTGTGTTGGCTCTAGTAGCTGTGCTGCCAGATCTGCATGCTGAGCCAGCAGCTGCTGCTGTGCCATTGCAAGACATGATCCAAGTGGAAGGAGGGGAATGTGCAGGCAGGAATGGACAGGGCAGAGCAATACGGACTGTTTTGTGACAACCTGCACTCAGGTATATTAGTGTGAAATCACACCCAGAAAACTTTGACTCCTATAAGCAGATCTTCTGTATTGTCACTAGATGAACCCCCTTACTGCAAGCCAGAGGTATTGACTGGCAACAAACTGCCATGTTTAGAGCAGAGCACCTGCTTTGGCAGAGGTACAGGAATGCAAGCAGATTGCCACCACTTCTTACATCCAGCTCTCTGCATGGTGAGGCAGAGAGACAAGATACTTTGTGGGATCACGGAAATACATAACAGATTATGCATCCCACACAAAATGCATCCATCTCACAGTTTACCCATAAAAGAAAAGAAAAAAAAAAAAAAAGGACTAACCACATAAATGGAAGTCCTGTCAGCATAGCATGTGAGGCAGTCCTCCCTGTCCACTCAGACCTGGTAAAATCTGAGTCAGCTGAAATACTGCAATCAGTTCTGACCATTTAAAAACGCAACTTTTTTGGAAAGGCAAGAGATACAAACAATCAGAGCCCCAGCAAACACAGTTTGTTACTCTAGAACTGCTTTAGAGAGGAATAATGAATTTCAGATATGTAAGAAGTATCTATAAAAAAGAAGGGAATAAACTGTTCTCCAGCACAATGACACAAAGGCTGGATTTAAGTTACAGCAAAAGAGACATCAGAATTAAACTACACATAGTCCCTTTGTAATAGTAAGAATAGCAAAACACTTGAACAGATTGCCTAAGGAAGATGTAGAACTTCTGTATTTGAAAGGTTTGAAGCATATACGGAAAAAATATAAGCCTGTAAACCCCAAATTATTTGGCTTAAAAAAACCCACATAATTTGATGACTGCTGAGTCTGGTTTCTAGGACTTCTGTATTCATTTCTTGTACAGTTTACAACATTAATCATCAGTTCTTACAAAGTGAGAATTGTGTCTGTGGCATTCTCTCTGTTCCTCAAATTCAGGCCCTCGACAAACTACTGTTTCTCTTCTAATTCAATTTCATCAAGTGTCAAACTTTACGGTCTCTCCAAATCACTAAAGTACTACTTCTAGGACTCACTATCTCATGTGTCGATCAAAGCTAAGTACTCTCTGTGCCTTTCTGCCTCTGGCACCTCAGCATGTGGAGATGGTTACTCTGAGAAAACTCTTCTGTTCTTCAGCCTAACCCTCTGAGGTGCCCCCCATGGGCACCCTGGTCCCCCCTCCCTCCCTGTCAGGGTCTCGTTCTTCTTCAGGGTTATTAAGAAAAGTATCTGTCTGAGCTCTTGACTCCGTCAGACCACTTGCTGCCTCTGCCTTTACTTCCACTCCCTGTTATGTGAATTTCTGTACTGAAAACAATGGTATCCCTGCCATTTTGGGGAACCCTGTCCCTGTTAAAATGTATACATCTATTATATATATATATATATATATATAAATCTGTACAACTTTCTGAATCCTTCCTCATCATTTCCATATAGTGAGTTGTGTTTATAAAGTCAGTCTTTAGACACGCCCTTGCCTTTTGTGTTTAAGCGTGATGTTCGAAAATCCTATATACACAAAGACATACCAATTTAATCCAACGGGATCTTTATGATTACATTGCTACGGCACCAATCCTATGCCATAACCCCCACTAAACCCTCAGCGCCGTGCTGCCCTCTCAGCCGCAACCGAAAAGAGTAGACTCTGGGCTGTAGGGAGAAAAAAAACCCACAATAACAGTAGTGTTCCTCAGTTTCCCTCGCGAGGAAGAAAAGTGAGTGACCCCGACGTGATTCGAACACGCAGCCTTCTGATCTGGAGTCAGACGCGCTACCGTTGCGCCACGAGGTCCTGCTGGGTTTCGGCAAACAGAGAGTTACAAGATGCCCATTCCGGGTCGCTGGCCGTGGGACCCCCAGGGTTCGAGGAGCCGGGAGGGTGCGGAGGGCTCAGGCTGCCGCGGGGCTGCGGCTGCAGCGCCCAATGGGCCAAGTCCTCGCCCGCTCCGGCCCTTCTCCTCCGCCACTGTTTCGTTTCCCGCCTTCCCGCACAAGTGCGTTACATGTCCCCACCCACACCCCCGATATCGGCCCCCAGCAGTGACGAGCCCGCTTCCCGCGCCGTTGCAGCCGTACGCAGGCTCGTTTGTCCCCACTCCCGGTTCTGTCGCTCCTCTGCCGCAAGCCCTCCGTTACTACCACCCAGTACCGGGAGTGGTTGTGTGGATTCCTATAAAGCCAGTCCCACGAAGGGTGCTCTCAGGGCAGTTCCTCGTTAGTATAGTGGTGAGTATCCCCGCCTGTCACGCGGGAGACCGGGGTTCGATTCCCCGACGGGGAGGCCTAGCAATGTGCTTTTCCCTCCCGGCGCGAGGGGGCGCAGGGGCAGTGCCCGCGCGCGCACAATTTTTCGCTCGGGGCTGAACGGCCGGCCCAGCGCGGCGCGCGCGCCAGCAAAAAGTGCCCGCGCGCTCTGATCGAGCGCGGCCCTCCCCGTCGGGGAATCGAACCCCGGTCTCCCGCGTGACAGGCGGGGATACTCACCACTATACTAACGAGGAGCCGCGCGCCGCAGCAGCCCCCGCGCCGCCCCTGCCCGCGGGGGAGGGGCCGGCCCCGCTCGGCCCGCGCCCAGGCTCCTGTTTGCCCGGATCCTGCGGGAATTGGCGCGGGCAGGGAGAGGCGTGGTGCTCCCACCGCGGCCCCTGGCTGCCCTCCCGCCGCACCGCCCGCGAATCTGCGTGCCCGGATTCCTGGAAACTGCAGCGCCAGGGAACTGCCGGGCTGGAGGCGAGGCGGGGGAGCGGAACGGCACAAGCAGCTCGGGTGTCTGAGTTTCTAGTTTTGCATCTCGTTCACGCAGAGTTTCTTTTTACGGGAACCTGAGAAGCCCTGGAGTCAGCAGTCCCTGAGGTGAAGGGACCCGAGCACCTGCTTCTTACCTACCTAAAAAAGGAACGAGGGAAATGGAAACCAGCTACTCTGAGATTTGAGAGTAAAAGGCTGGACACAGACTGACCATCTGTCTTGATGCTGACCCGGTCAGCAGGAACATGGTTGTAAGTTTGTATGGCAGTGACATTAGACAGGAAACTATATTTAATTTGCTGGCTTCTTAGATGAAGAATTAACACCCCATAATAAACAAGCACTTAGAACAAATGGTGTTTCTCTTTTGATGAGCTCCGCTACTGCTAGTATTTCTTTGGATAAAAGGACCTCAGCTTTGCTTTTTCAGATAATCACAGCTAAAGAGCAAACAGCTACCCATACGTAGACTTCCAAATATAAGTGTCCTGTAAACAAAGCATTTCTGAGAATTTGCCTTCTAATTTAAACGTTTGAATGTGAACATGTGTTTCTCAGTGCATGCAACAGATTCGAATTTTGTCCTGACAAGTGGAAAACATAACTTCAGTCTCATAGTAATTTCATTACTTTAGATGTAGTGTAATGAGATGTATTGTGGGGCTGTGGTCAGGTGATAGGCTTTAAACCTCCAAGAACAGTATCAAAATCAGTGTTGCCAGGCTGGTCTACATTTACTGTACATGATCAAATTTTATTTAAAAGATGTTAATCTTGAAGCTGGGAGACTTTCTAATAGATCAAACATTTCACGTTTGAATTTTATGCGACCACTCCCACTCAGTTTAGATCCTTTTGCTAGTCCCTTCTCAGTTGCTTCTCTTCATTAACCCCTGTGGCTGGGGAGCTGAGCTGTGACCCTTTGTGTAAGTTGTGGCGCTTGCTGCAGCCAGACCTTCCCTTACTGTTGCTCTTTGCCTCAGGCTCCTGCGCAGACCACTTCTTGGGCTGTCCTCTCTTGGAACAGGACTTCTGCTATCTCCATAACAACTCTTGCAAATTTTTGGCATCTGCTAAGCACTTTCATAATACCAGAGCCAGGCTTACAGCAAGGTATTTTATTGTCTCCTTAACTTTGTCTTTGAGGGCCAAAGAAGACCTGGCTGGGAGTTCTGGACCTGCTGGAGATCTGGGGAAAGCCTGTGGTGTGACAGGCTCTTGAAGCACCATTTTCAATAGCACAGTAGATTGGCCTTGAGGATATCAGTTGCTTCCTTCAATTTGATGTCATCCACCTGTGTCACCTGGTGATGCCTATTCGCCTTGACAAGTAAAATATATTGGCATTATTGGCACACTGAGGTTCAGCACATCTGATGTGTCATCATGACAATATGACCTGTGATGGAGCCTTCTGTAGCTGCAGACATTGATTCTTCTAAATCAATGTAAAAACACAAACCTTAGATGAGAAGTGAAACCCATCTCTAGCTATGGTCTTTAGGATACCCCAGTCCCAAACAGCTGCTGCAAACTGAATATATTTGATTCCGATTAATCCTCGTAGCTATTTTGTATGCTCGTATTCCTGCCCATTCACACATATCCAATTCTCTATCTACTATTTTTATTTTCCTTTTAATTTTTGTCTGTACCTGCACCCTATGAAGTTCACAGCACAGGATTTAATTAATTTCAATAAGGATGTATGAGTTATCAAGTGGCATATTAAGTTACAGGACTTCTTTCTGCATAGTTTTTGGCCTTACATCATTTCTGTCCAGTGTAATGGATTTGTCATGTGGTCCGTATGACTCAGTGATCCCTTTCTGTGGTAATGTATTTTGATCAAGCTAAAATGAAGTTTTAAAAGTTATTAGAAAATCAATTTACATCACTTAAGGGAACGAGCGATCAGACATCCTGTGTGAAATTAACAGCTGAAGAGCTGAAGAAATTCAAGGTAAAGAGGACTGTGACACTGTACGTCAGTGCCTGGTGGCTTAGTGGGAGGAGGGACTTAAGGGGCTTTCCCCTATTAGCATGCCTAGTATAGTTTATGCAGTATTAAATGCAGCCACACAGCTGGGCAGCTTCCCCTCTGTCTTGAATCATGTGAATTTTCTAATAAATGGAGCCTTTTACAAACTTGTTGGAGGAATCTCAGGGCTTGAAAATTTATGTCCTAAGAACTGTGAAATAAAATAGGCAAGAAGTGCCCATGCAAAATTGCATTTTCTGTTTTGGGTAAAACTGCTCTGAAGGAACAGCTGAACAGTTGAATCTTGCCACTTTTATTCCTATAGCATGATTTAATCCAATGGATAATTCCAATAAGAATAACTCCTTCTCAGAGGGAATCTGCATTCTCATCACTTTTGCCCTCAAAAGGGATTGCCAAGGAAATGTACTGAAGAGATCATAAAAACTGGAAACTCCAAGCCAGGAAAGGTGGAGCCTGGCTGGTTTTAATGAATAATATAAAGTTTGGAATCACAAAAACTGAGAGATGCCTTGCTTAGAAATAGGAGGATAGGAATTAGTAATTAAAAGAAAGAAGATTTTTTGAGTTCATGTGCAGAATACACCTCTTTTTGTGTATGAGATGTAATGTTTCAGAGTAATCTTAAAAGAGTGTTTATGCAGCAAAGCCTTTAGACACATATCAAGACACTCCAAAATCCAAATAGATTGTGTACTAATGTAAGTATTCCTGTGTAATGCACTTCTGGATACCACAATGTGACTACAAGAATAACCATAACTTTTTGGCTGTGAGGAAAGACTGCAGTGGACTGAAACAATTTCACCATTGGTCTGACTTGGTCTGAAATAGCATTGGCATTTCTTAGAATCTTGAAATTGTCAATAATTAGCTTCAAAATAGACCTATCATTTAGTGCCTAAGAAGGAAAGATCTAGGGTCAAATGTGAAAAAAGATTGAATACTCTAATATACACCTACAATATAACATTAAGGACTGACTCTCACATCATATCAGTTCTAGGAGTAAACAAGTGTCATTCAAAAAAAAGGCATCATGAACCTAATAAAGCTAAATGGAGTGTAGAGACAGGAAAAACATGGGATAGTAAAACCCACAGAAAGCAACACAGGAAAAAACACTATTGACTGAAGTTAGAGAAGCCAAAGTTGTCATGAATTAATGGCATACATAAAGAAATTAATTCTACTGTAAACAGCATTGGGAGATATTTAAAGGTATTCGTTTTACAAAACTATAAATGAAGTTATATGTAATGAATTTAAATTAGGAAGCAAATCATCACACTTCTGTGCATTCCACTGCTTGCTCAGTACAGACATGGACAAGTGCAGGTCAAATAATTGCAGTGGAGAAACCAAACATTAAAATAAAAGATGAGCACTGGGAGCAGGTGCTATTGAACCTAAAACCTCTATGGTTGCCTAAGGTACAAAATCAGAAATATACAAAAGAACTTGCAGAAGATGAGGGGGAAAAGGCATGCTGCCACTTCAGAATGCACTGATGGCCCAGACCTATAATAGTGCTTGCTCTTCTCTAGGTTGGACGGATTGCACTGCTGCACTACTGAAAAAACAGTGGGTAAAAAAAGAGTCAGTATGCTGAGCAAAGAATGAATAGAAATCAGTTTGGTTTTTATCCAGTAGTTATCACAAGGGAAACTTACCTTGAAAACACGGTCAGAATGCGTAGTGAAAGTGTAGAGGGAAATCTACATGTTTTTTGCTGCTTTTGTGAAGGTTTTGAGAAATTTTAGCATTTTAGAAAGATATACATCACTGAAAAATGTATTAATGACTCACGAAACTCAGTTTAGAAAACACTGCAGCTGAGAGACAAAGCAGCATTGTGAGCAGATACCGAAACATCCTAGTGCATCATCAAGGTACATTTTGTCTGTAAAAGCATTTAATGCTAAGTAGAAAGCATAACAAATGACAGTTTGGAATCTTCTGAGTGACATATGAGTTAATGGAGCTTATGTGAAGAATATATGTATGTGTCTATTTATACAAAGAATATATATATATATATGTGAAGAATAGATAGGTATGTCTGTTAGCAATCTTGCTTTAAGAGTTCAATTAGAGAAGACCTTCAGAGCTTGATGAATGTTTTGAAAAGAAATGAAAAGATGAATATTAAAAGACCCAAAAGTGCTAAGAATAGTCTCAGCAAAAGACAAAGTTGACAACTCATTTATTTTAACTACCAAACACTGGATCAAAGCTACCAGCACTCTATAATTTGTTGTAGTGCTGGCTTCTCTGTGCATTTCTGGTCCTCCAGTTGCCACCCTTTGCTACTTCATTGTGTTGTGGATGTGGAACAAAAGAATAGCTCCCTTTCTAGGCAAAACTGTGGCTTCATGGGGTAAGAGTTTCCTCCCTTCTCCTTTTCTTATGATGCAAGGACCACATGGCATGGAAACCACATTATTTTCCTTACTTAGGGATATACTCCACTGATTGCAGTAATCCATGTGCATAGGCAAACCTGGAGAAACCTGAAGTGGTCCTCATAACTAGCAAAAACCCATACGGCTTAAATCTCATTTCAGTAGTTGATTTTTATCCTTGCCATGTGTTTTACTATTACTTCTATTTCTGACTTCTGCACTTGGCAGTTTTTTTGTCTTCCTTTTCACTATTCTTCCTCCCCTCATCCCACTTTTTTTTTGTTTAACTATTTCCTTAATTAGAAATAGGATGCCCCATGTACTGTCCAAGTCATGGGAGTGCAAAAGATTGATCTGAAGGTTGGAAGAAACTTCTGGTCCTGTTCAGTCACACCAGTCCTGGGACTGGCTTCTTTGGCTATTGACACAATTTTCAGTGGGTGAACAAGCAGTAGAAGGGAAGTGGATAGATTTTTCAATTTAGCAGATGGAAGAAGGAAGACAGTATAAAATAAAACATTAAAAAGCCCTTACAGAAATTAATTGCCATTTCCAGTGTTATTCACGATAGAGAAAAGCAAATGTGCACATTCAGCAGAGATTGCTCAGGATGTGATGGATGGTTAACCATGTTGCTCAGTTGTAAAACTCTGACACTTAAAGATGCAGAAATGAATCACATTGTACTTCAAATCTGAAACAAGAGATGAATATTTAAAGTCAGTTGAATAGCCAAAACAACAAATGAGGAACTGTTGGGAATTACGTGCTTAGAGCAAAACTAAGTGAAGTAAGAGCTTAACATTACTATGTGTCTGGAATATATTGCTCGACAGTCACCAAACTACTCTTAGTTCTAGCAAAATCGAAGAAATAGCATTAAGAGGAAAGACATCAGATGCATTGCTAGGTAGAGTCACAAGACATTTTACAGCTTTCTCACAGCT